GAAAAAAGCCCAGGTCCAGATGGGTTCACAGCGGAATTCTACCAGACACACAAAGAGGAGCTGGTACCATTCCTTCTGAAACTATTCCAAACAATCCAAAAAGAGGGAATCCTTCCCAAATCATTTTATGAGACCAACATCATCCTGATACCAAAACCCAGCAGAGACCCAGCAAGAAAATAAAACTTCAGGCCAATATCCATGATGAACATAGATGCAAAAATCTTCAATAAAATACTGGCAAACCGATTGCAACAGCACATCAAAAAGCTTAGCCACCATGATCAAGGAGGCTTCATCCTTGGGATGCAAGGCTGGTTCAACATATGCAAGTCTATAAACGTAATGCACCACATAAACAGAACCAAAGACAAAAACCACATGATTATCTCAACTGATGCAGAGAAGACCTTTGACAAAATTCAACAGCCCTTTATGCTAAAAACCCTCAATAAACTAGGTATTGACGGAACATATCCCAAAATAATAAAAGCTATTTATGACAAACCAACAGCCAATATCATGCTGAATGGGCAAAAACTGGAAGCATTTCCTTTGAAATCTGGCACTAGACAATGATGCCCTCTCTCACCACTCCTATTCAATACAGTACTGGAATTTCTAGCCAGAGCAACCAGGCAAGAAAAAGAAATAAAGGGTATTCAATTAGGATAGGAGAAAGTCAAATTGCCTCTATTCGCAGATGACATGATTGTATATCTACAAGACCCCATCGTCTCAGCCCCAAATGTCTTGAAACTGATAAGCAACTTCAGCAAAGTCTCAGGATACAAAATCAATGTGCAAAAATCACAAGCATTCTTATACACCAATAACAGACTTAAAGAGAGCCAAATCAAGAATGAATTGCCATTCACAACTGCTACAAAGAGAATAAAATACCTAGGAATACAACTAACAAGGAACATAAAGGACCTCTTCAAGGAGAACTACAAACCACTGCTCAACGAAATAAGAGAGGACACAAACAGATGGAGAAACATTCCATGTTCATGGTTAGGAAGAATCAATATCGTGAAAATGGCGATAGAGACCAAAGTACTTTACAGAATCAACACTATCCCCATCAAGCTACCAATGACCTTCTTCACAGAGCTGGAAAAAACCACCCTAAACTTCATATGGAACTAAAAGAGAGCCCGCATAGCCAAGTCAATTCCAAGCAAAAAGAACAAAGCGGGAGGAATCACACTACCAGACTTCAAACTATACTACAAGGTTACAGTAATCAAAACAGCATGGTACTGGTACCAAAACAGAAATATAGACCAATGGAACAGAACAGAGGCCTCAGAGGCAACACAACATATCTACAACCATCTGATCTTTGACAAACCTGACAAAAACAAGCAATGGGGAAAGGATTCTCTGTTTAATAAATGGTGTTGGGAAAACTGGCTAGCCATGTGCAGAAAGCAGAAACTGGACCCCTTCCTGACACCTTACACTAAAATTAACTCCAGATGGATTAAAGACTTAAACATAAGACCTAACACCATAAAAGCCCTAGAAGAAAATCTAGGCAAAACCATTCAGGACATAGGTGTAGGCAAGGACTTCATGACCAAAACACCAAAAGCATTGACAACAAAAGCCAAAATAGACAAATGGGACCTAATCAAACTCCACAGCTTCTGCAAAGCAAAAGAAACAGTCATTAGAGTGAATCGGCAACCAACAGAATGGGAAAAAATTTTTGCAGTTTGCTCATCTGACAAAGGGCTGATATCCAGAATTTACAAAGAACTAAAACAGATTTACAATAAAAAAACAAACAAGCCCATTCAAAAGTGGGCGAAGGATATGAACAGACACTTTACAAAAGAAGACATATATGAGGCCAACAAACATATGAAAAAATGCTTGGCGTCACTGGTCATTAGAGAAATGCAAATCAAAACTACATTGAGATACCATCTCATGCCAGTTAGAATGGCGATCATTAAAAAATCTGGAGACAACAGATGCTGGAGAGGATGTGGAGAAATAGGAACACTTTTACACTGTTGGTGGGAGTGTAAGTTAGTTCAACCACTGTGGAAGACAGTGTGGTGATTCCTCAAGGACCTAGAAATAGAAATTCTATTTGACCCAGCAATCCCATTACTGGTATATATCCAAAGGATTGTAAATCGTTCTACTACAAGGACACATGCACACAAATGTTCATTGCAGCACAGTTTACAATAGCAAAGACCTGGAACCAACCCAAATGCCCATTGATGATAGACTGGACAGGGAAAATGTGGCACATATACACCATGGAATATTATGCAGCCATCAAAAACAATGAGTTCGTGTCCTTTGTAGGGACATGGATGAACCTGGAAACCATCATTCTCAGCAAACTGACACAAGAACAGAAAATCAAACACCACATGTTCTTACTCATAGGCGGGTATTGAACAATGAGAAAACACGGACACAGGGAAGGGAGCATCACACACTGGGGTCTGTGGGGGGAACCAGGGGATGGACAGCAGGGGGTTGGGAGTTGGGGAGAGATAGCAAGGGGAGAAATGCCAGATCTAGGTGATGTGGAGGAAGGCAGCAAATCACACTGCCACGTGTGTACCTATGCAACAATCTTGCATGTTCTTCATATGTACCCCAAAACCTAAAATGCAATTAAAAAAAAAAAAAAACAGCCAGGTAGGACACACTTGCTGTTCCAGCTACTTATGAGGTTGAGGTGGGAGGATTGCTTAAGCATGAGAGGTCAAAGCTGCAATGAGCTGTGATTGAGCTACTGCACTCCACCTTGGGTGACAGAGCAAGATCCTGTCTCAAAAAAAAAAAAAAAAAATACATATGGTTAACGTGCCTTGAATATAAATATTTTGTAGAGTATATGACAAGAATTTTAAATTAATGTTTTCCTATTTGGATAACATATAAAGATTTCCAACAATAGAATGTAGTTAGAAGCTATGAAATACAGAACCAGAAAAAAACTATTTTAAAGTTCACATGGAACCAAAAAAGAGCCTGAATAGCTAAGGCAATCCTAAGCGAAAAGAACAAAGCTGGAGGCATCACCTTACCTGACTTCAAACTATAATACAAGGATACAGTAACCAAAACAGCATGGTGCTGGTAAAAGAACAGGCAGTAGACCAATGGAACAGAGTCTAGAAATAAAACTGCACACCTAGGAACATTGGATCTTCAACAAAGCTGAACAAAAACAAGCAATGGAGAAAATACTCCCTATTCAATAAACAGTGCTGGGATAACTGCCTAGCCATAGACAGAAGATTGAAGCTGACCTCTTTCTTTCACCATATGCAAAAATCAATTCAAGATGGAATATAAATATAAAACCCAAAACTTAAATATAAAACCCACTACTATAGAAACCCTGGAACACGACCTAGTAAATACCATCCTCAACACAGGAAGAGGCAAAGATTCATGACAAAGACAACAAAAGAAATAACAATAAAAGCAAAAACTGACAAATGGGATCTAAATAAACTTAAAAGCTTCTGCACAGCAAATAATCTATCAACAGAGTTAAACAGAATGGGAGAAAATGTTTGCAAACTATGTATCTGGCAAAGGTCAAATGTCCAGCATCTATAAGGAACTTAAACAAATTTACAAGAGAAAAACAAACAACTCCATTAAAAAGTGGGCAAAAGACATAAACAGACACTTTTCAAAAGAAGACATACATGTGGCCAACAAGCATATGAAAAAAACTTCAATATCACTGATTATTAGAGAAATGCAAATCAAAACAAGATACTATCTCATAACAGTCATAATGGCTATTATTAAAAAGTCAAAAAATAACATGCTGGCAAGGTTTTAGAGAAAAGGGAACACTTATACACTGTTGGTGGGAGTGTAAATTAGTTCAACCATTGTGAAAAGCAGTGTGGTAATTCTTCAAAGAGCTAAAAGCAGAACTACCATTTGACTATGCAATTCTATTACTGGACATAGACCCAGAGGAATATACATCATTCTACCATAAAGACACACACAGGCACACACATGTTCACTGCAGCACTATTTGCAATAACAAAGACATGGAATCCACCTAGATACCCATCAATGACAGATTGGATAAAGAGAATGAGGCATATTTACACCAAGGAATACTATGCAGCCATAAAAAAGAATGAGATCATGTCTTTTTTGGGAACATGGATAGAGCTGGAGGCTACTATCCTTAGCAAATTAGCACAGAAACATAAAACCAAATACTGCGTGTTCTCACTTGTATATGGAAGCTAATTGATGAGAATTCACGGAAACAAAGAAGGAAACAACAGACACTGGGGTCTATTTGAGCAGGGAGTGTGGGAAGAAGGAAAGGAGGAGAAAAGATAACTATTGGGCACTGGGCTTAATACCTGAGTGATGAAATAATATGTACAACAAATCCCCATAACCTGAGTCTACCCATATAACAAATCTTCACATGTATCCCTGAACCTAAAATAAAGATTAAAAAAAGAACCTGTGAAACATTTATATATTTCATATTTGACTGTGGACAAACTGCTACTCTGCTATACTTTATTTTTAAAGTTGTATGAAGGCAGTTCCCATAAAGCAAGCTGTCCAATATACAGTCCAGCAGAGTGCTCAATGGCCATAGGGTTTGGTGTCCAGCAGCCTAGGTTGGAGCTCTGGCTCTGCAACAGTGTGCAGGTGATTCTATCTCTGTAAGCCTCAGCCCAACTAACCAGGTGTCATTGTTTACCCCTCCATGGATGCCTTGTAAATCTCATTTTCTAATAACTGAATAATGACTGAATATGAAATCATATCCAGTCATATCTAGGTTTGTTTTTTGTTTTTTTTTAAAAATGGGGTCTTGCTGTCACCCAGGCTGGAGTGCAGTGGCACAATCACAGCTCACTGCAGCCTTCACCTTTCAGGCTCAAGCGATCCTCCCACCTCAGCCTCTTGAGTAGCTGGGACTACTGGTGTGTGCTACGATGCCTGGCTAATTAAAAAAAAAATTTTTTTTGGAGAGACAGGATCTTCCTATGTTGTCAAGACTGGTCTTACACTCCTCGACTCAAGCGATCCTCCCATCTCAGCCTCCCAAAGTGTTAGGATTATAGGTTTGAGCTACTGCACCCATCCAGCCATCATCTAGATTCTAAACACCAAAGTGTATGGAACAGATAGAATAAGATCCAGAAATAAATATCCAAGTGATACTCTCACCATTGCTTTCTTTGCCAGCTACCCACGCTCCCCAGCCTGACAATGTGCACCCACAGTCCCAGCCTAGCCGTGGTTCTTAGCATTGCAATTAGATCATCATCATCACTGAAGTCACATTCTCTAGTTACACTATACATAAAAATATCAAAGAATCTTGTCCCTCTCGTTTTTTGGATGAGGGAGTAAACTAGGCAACTGTGAGGTTTTTACAACACAGAATTCTTTGTGAACTCTGTTGACATTTGGCAAATGGCTTTATGCTGCCTTTACAGCGTCAAAGTCTCTATTTATTCATTTTAAAATGCTGGGATTAGTTACTGTCTTTTCTTTTAAAATAAACAATAGCGCTGCCAAAGAAAAAATGTATTGCTGTTTGAAAAGAAAACATTTTATGATATCTTCATATATAAACAAAAAAATAAAATAAGACTTCTGTCTAGTTATAATCATCTTCATAAACAAATACTTCAGGAATAGATTGCTAACTGGTAAGCTAACTGGATGTGGTACTTGTTCTGGGAGCATCTTTACTTCCGTTACCCAAACCTCCTCCATCTGCAAACACAGTCACTACACATAGCATACTCCTCATTATCACGGTGGGATATAGACAATGATTGAAGAAAAGGTATGCATTTTTTCATTCATGACTTTACTCGTCTCAAAGGGGCTTTCTAGCTCTAAGTAAAGTCAGTTTATGAATTTCTGATAACCCCCAATTTTTTACATTATTAAAATTTCATTTTCATAGCATCTCTTTATCTTTTTAATGTATTTTTAGCAAAGTCATGTTATTTTTCAAAATTGGGTTTGTTTAGGATTCTGATCATTAAAAAGGATACTAAATTATTCTTCCTCCAGCTGGAAATCAAGCTTTCCTCGGCACCCCAGAAGGAATCATCACTTAGTGAGGAGTGATGTTACAGGAGCGTTGGATTAATAAATGCTTGACGAATAGATAAGTGAATACAAGAATGAACAAGTCAATACGGCAAATGAATTTTGATTCTTTCCTATCATTTAATAAGGCAAGCGAATGTAAGGAAAGGCAGAATCAAATCTACTAGTGTGTTTCATATGTAACCACTATAGATTAGTTTTGTCTTAAAGAGCAGAAAAACCCAAACTAAGACAGCTGATTTTCAAGCAAAGATGAGAGCAAACACAAAGCCCATTCAGAGCTACATGATGGCTACTGTGCAGAAAGTGATGACTCCCTCTTCCAGTTATCAATACACGATATTTCAGAAAGAATGTACAAGAAACTATGAAGGACGTCAGACAGACTGCCCAGCTTCATTTCCTAATACCATTCATGATTAGTTCATATACTGCCCTCCTATTTCTCAATCCCAAGGTTCACCCAGATGTTCACCCTAATTTTCCCTCCTATTTTGCTTTTGAGGTGGATTAATTTGAATAAAACAGTTGAGAAACACTCATTTAGAGTAAGAGCTAAATGTCTGGTTTTTAAATGATATCTTGGCTTAAAGACAGAGAAGCAATTATCGTTTTTGTTTTTTGTTTTTTTCTTGCCCTAGTAACTAAAAATGGTGTCAAATAGAGCAGATGTCAAGAAGAGTGCTTGTACAGCACTAAGCACCTCACAGTGCAGGATGACTCAAAGCACGGGTCAAGACGCCCCTGGCCTGACCAACACTGATCAAAGGAGTTCCAAGAAAATACAGTTCTTCTTTTTTACATTAATGAATCATATTTTCAACTGAAAAATTAATTAGCACACATAGTAAAATTCCCCCAAATTTAAAATGGTGAGTACTCAGTCCCGTTCTACCTCAGATTTCAAACTTGTAGCCACCTCTTCCTCAAAGCTAGCAACTTTACCATTACCTTGAGTGCACATGCAGAAAGATGCTTTTGAGTGAAACATATTTATGTATGTACAGTCTTTGCATATTTTTCCATAACTGGGAACACTGTGCCTTAACTTCTCCACTTAAAAATACACCTTGACTAAATCAATAATGATAGAGCCATTCAACAGAATCACTTTCTGCTGTAAGAAAGATGAAAATGCAGACACTTTGGAAAACAACCAAAAAGTTAAACTTAGAGCTACCATTTGTCCCAGCAATTCCACTACTAGGAATGTACCCAGAAGAAAGAAAAATTGAACATACAAACACTTTTGCATAAATGTTCACTGCAGTACAATTTGAAATAGCCAAAAAGTGAAACAATGCAAATATCTATCAACAGATGAATAAACAAAATGTGGTATAGTCATACAATGGAATATTATTTGCTCCTAAAAAATACAATCTGATGTGTGCTACAACATGAATGAGCCTTGAAAGAAGCATGTCACAAAAGACCACATATTATATGATTCTATTTATAAGAAACATTCAGAATAGGCAAATTATAGAGAAAAAAAGGTAGAGTCGTTGTTGCCTAGGGCTGTGGGGTGCAGGAGGGGCAGTGGATATAGAGCAGGCAATGGCGGAATTGGAGGGTGATACTACAGGGTAAGGGGCTTCTTATACTGGTAGGAAAATGTTCTCAATTGAATTTGGTGATGGTTGCAAAACTGTGTGAATAGACTAAAAATCTCTAAATTATACACCCTCTATTGATGAAGAGTATGATATGTGAGTTATACCTCCATAAAGTTCTTCCAAAACAACACAAGAAGCTTCTCTATGTATTGACACACTGTCAAGTGCAAAATACAAGCCACAGAACAATGAATATGCAGATTATACTTCTTTTGTGTAAAAAGGGAGGAAGAGAATAGAACTTATATTTTCATTGCATTTACATAAACCCTAAAGGTATATACAAAGAAACTAATGAAAGTGGATACATGGGAGTGTGCATGTCATCTTTTCAAAGTATAACAATAATAACAATAGTAAGCATCATCTGTAGAGAGCGCCACAGCCATACCAGCACATGAAAGATCTTCCTCATAGATGCACAGTATTGTTTTATAGTTGTGCATCAGTTGTTCAATCAGTCATGTACAGATTGACAATTAGGCTCTCTCCAGTGTTCTGTTACAAAAACTGCAGCAGAACATTTTGGACATATTTTTTTGAACCTTTACACAAGTACATAGAGTAAACGTTAAAAAGTGAAGTTGCTAGATAATAGATAAGAAATCCTTAAAGTAATGCAACTAAAGAATATCCCTTAAATTTGGTGACTAGTAGCTGTATACCCCAGTAGGATTTTATTGCAATTACTGAACAAAATACACTTTTTTTCTGACAGGAATAAATGAAAACCTAGGATTTCCCCATTCTCTGTAGTTACAGCATTAAAAAGTAAGCACAATAAGTTCCTTTTAAAAGAAAAGTTAGACAAAAATCAAATGGTTTATTCTATGTAAGCTCTGGAAGTTAAGAAAGAGAAGCCTCCTTTTAATAGGCAAGAATTTATTTGAATTCATTATGTGGCTTCTCAAATGCGGTACAGATTTAAAATGACCTTTCAGTCTCAAAGGAGGAGTCTCAGAGAAAAAGGATGAAGAGAATCTGTTTCAATTAAGATAAACATCAACTACCAAGACCCAATTACACCATTTGAATTTGAAGAAGGCAAAACTGTTGTCAAAAAAATTGGAAAGCATCAAGGACGGCAATAAACTTGGTAAAATTTAATTGCATCATGTTTTGATGACATTACTGAGTGTTCATGGAAGACAGGGCTATGTTTGGATGCATTCCTCCCTTTCCTTCCCTCCACTCTCCCTGGCTCATTTTGGAGTTGTTTTTGAGTGATTCTATTTAGCTGCATTGGCATCTTTACTTAAATGGACATATCTGTGCAGAGAAAATCCTGTTATTCATTATGGCCAAAGAATGGTAGATATTAACCAACAACTGTCTGAATATAGTAAAAATCAATAAATTACATACCCTGTATAGATGGCATGTGAGTTATATCTCAGTAAAGTTCTTCCATAACAACACAAGAAGCTTCTCTATGAATCAACACACTGTCAAGTGCAAAATACAAACTGCAGAACAATGAATACGCAGATTATGTTTTATTTTGTATAAAAAGGGAGGATGAGCACAGAGTAATAGAGTGATACATACATCTTTAATGCATTGTAATATTGAAATGATTACAGTGCAATACATTTCATACTAAAGTCTTATTTAAGTTACTTTTGGTTGTTATTGTTGCTTTTGTCATTATTTTGTTGTTTTATGATCCAAAATATACTTGAGAACTAGAATACGTGAGGAAGATGATTGTGGCTATGATCTATGATGGGTTTCAGTTCATACAGGCCAAAGTGTGTTTGCTGTTTGGAGCTGATAGAACCCATTCATAAACTCCTTAAGGGTGGCCAGGGAAAAGAACGCCACATACATCCTGAGCAGTCTTGCCAGTAAGAATATCAGTGCCTGGCCTTTGGCATGTGTGGCTGACATGCTCATCCCTACTCCAGTTTGGGGGGCCATGGCTTACATCTGTCTTTTGTATCAACCATGTCATTCAGTCCAGCAGGCACATCCTATTATTAGCTGAAGGCCAGCATTACGATCTTCGGGAAAAGTATTCTAACCATTTGGTAAAACTGTTGTTGTTTTATACACATATATCTACTATTCGGTTAAATTTTGAACTCAAATCATAAGTAAATTTAGCTCATAGAGGCATTAGAACACTGAAATCTATGCACTTATGGCAACAGAGAATTCAGTGTGGGTTGCCTGGTGTGTGATTTGGCACCTAAAGTCAAAGTGAGATCTTACACCTAATAAAAATGCTCTTGAAGTTTAGTGAGTCAAATTCTTAGGAGCATCTTAAACTTTCTGTAAAGAGGAGAGATTAAAGCAGCAGAATATTTTTCAAGGGCACGTTTATTTCAAAAGACTTTCCTTCTTTCCTAGGTGCAGTCCACTCTCTTTGACCTCAGCTCACCAAGGTCCCTGGGAAGACAGGCTAGCAATAGAAATCAGGTCAGATATATACAGAAAACACCCCAGTCAAAGACAAACACTGGGGACTGGTAGGTGGGAAACCCATCATTTCATGATGTCCAACTTTTCACTGGAAATCTATACATGAGTGCCATATAAATTTAAGATCTTAAGACAGCAATCTCACTTCTTTTCCTTTTTAAGTGATTAAAAAACAGAGCCTCTGCTCCTCATATCTGCTGAATATTCAAGACCTTTGTACCTGCTATAATCTTCTCCCTACTGTTTGTTTGACTGGTTCTTTCAGTTCTCAACTTCCTTGACCACTCCAACTAAAGCACATCTCTAGGATACACAGACACACACAGACACAGACACACACCCATACACAGATATACACAAACAGATGGTTTAACTCGGCCCCTCCTATGTTCTCTTCACTGCACTTAAAACACAATTAGGAATAATTTTATTTAGTGAATTTGTTTTGCTTGGTAAGCTCCAGGAAGGGAGGGAGGCACCATTGCATCTCCAGATCTTAGCACAAAAAGGAGATAAAATGTGTATTTTTTCTGTATAGAAATTACCCTAAATAAAACTGTAGAAAGTTATTCTACATAAAAATCTTGTTGTTGAACTATTTATATATAAATGTATATATAGATCTCTTATCTTCTTGTACCATCATTGTAGGCTACTATTAAAATATAATTTACATATATCTAAGAACTGACATACTTCTAGTTATATCAGTTAGAAATATATATCATATATAATATACATCATATAGATAATATATATCATATATAATCATATATCATATATAAGTGTATATATATCAGAAATATCAGTTAGATACTTCAGTTTAGAAATAGTATATTTCTAAATAACATGCTATTTAGAATATATAATATATATATTTTAAGAAGACCACGTCAAAGAAGTTTCAAGGCCAGGTTTAGTTAGAAGTGATACTGATTTTTTTCCATATTCATGTGACTTTAACAGAATAATAAATTTAGTTTAAACCCAGATTCATACTTTTATTTCCAAATTAAGCAAAAATTATTTTATCTAGAACTGTTCTGACACTTTCAGTAAACTTTCCATTATCATTTCACTTGTGAAAGATCATATACATGTCATATCACATACCATTTTGTAAATGGTTAAAATTCTTACATTCTCAAATAGTAGCCTGTTTCATGACAACCACAAAAACACAAACATAAATAAGAAAATATTAATAGGAGTTTTTCCCTTCCAATAATAAACTGGCTAACATTTTTTTGGTTTGCTATGTCCCTAGCATTACTTCAAGCACTCTGCATGTATTATTTCATTTAACATTCACAGAAACCCCACGGGTAGCTTTTCCCCTTGTCCAAAGTCACCCAGCATGTAAAAGGAGACTAGTTTCAAATTCGTTTGACTTCAGACTCCATCCCCATCTCTCCAGTACATATTGTTGGCAATTCCAAACTGCTCTGGAATTTTAATAGCTCAGCTCTGTGTTTTCCACAGTCTAACAAAATAGAAATAGTTTGAATGAAGTTAAGCACATAAGGTCTGATTTCAAAATGATACCATGGTTTAAAACTAGCCATTAACTTTTACATGGAACAAAAAGGAATATTTATAAAGCCATACAGAACGTGGCCATCTGGCCTACTCCTGATGCAAGAAGCTGAAACATGCTTCTGAAAACTAAGTGCTTTTTACTTCTTTCTTTAGAATTGTTAAAAGTTTCTTGGATAACAGAGAAAAAAATAACCTACTTTCTCTTGAGGATTCAAGAGTAACTATCTTTCATGTAGCATTAATGTTCTGTCTACCCACCAACAACAAGGGTTAAAAACAATGGTTAGACAGAGTCCCTCCTCAAATGTCTCATAAGTAACCAGAAATATCCTAAGGAACCAATTATTTTCTTTTACTCCTATTAGTCAGAAATTTACATATTGCAAAGAATAATTTCTTCTCTCCATCAGTCTGAAAAAATTTACTCAGGATGTTATACTAAATCAGAAATTGTAAGGATTATGACTAAACAAGGTTTGATGAATTTAACATTTTTTCTATCAAACTTTATACGATTTCACAAATTCCAGCATGAGTTGATACACAAGGCACTCCCTTTTCTATTACCTGACTACTTGAATCTACCCTGTCTTAGCCAAAAAAATTATCTGTCACATCTTTTTTTTAATTATTCAAATTTTTATTTTAATGTACAGTATGAGAAATGAACTTTTCAATCAACTGATTTGTATGGAAAATTACATGGCAAATAAATTAGACCCATGTTAAAAGAGAAGGTCAGCTAAATGTCCAAACTTAAGGATATAATGGGCACCAATAAACAGATTCCACAGTCTTCTTTAAGAGGCTGTCTTTCAAACACAGCTTTGCTAGAAATTGGTCCAGAGATTAACAGCACATGGGAATGCTTAACCCGGGTGGTGATCAGGGACACGCTTCCTGGGTGCTGCTTTGATGATGTCGTCCACATGTAGAATCACCTGTACTGCTTTAGCTGCACTTAGAAGAACTTGTTGCTTTACTTGAAAACTTTCTGTTATACCCAGGAGAGCCATATCTCCAATGGGACCTTCCCTCATATCCAGTCCAGCAGTGGTGTTACCTTCATGGTGAGCAGCTCTGAGCTGTGCTGCTGGTCTGCACTGTCATAGCCTGCGTTGTCAGCTATGATGGTTGGCAACATTCTCAGTGATTTAGCATAAGACTCCATTGCAACAGCTTCTTTGCCTGGTGTTCTATTGGTAAGCTGTGTCACAGCATGAGCCATCAACATCTCTGAACAGCCTCCTCCATAAACTGTTCTAGAGTCCTTTACAGTTTGTGCAAGAACACAAACAGCATCATGCAAAGATCTTTCTGCTTCATCTAAAATTTGTTGAGTGGCACCACGCAAAACAATAGTACAAGCCTCACCAAGGGCAACCCCAGAAAAGTGAATGAGTTTGTCTTCTCCAATCATGACTTCCTCAATAAGTTTGCAGCTTCCAAGCTTCACGAGTTCTGGGTGATCAAAGGTAGAGGCAATTTCACCACCGGTGACAAGAACTAGGCATTCCACACCTGCAAAATCTGCATGCTCAATAGCCCTGACACCAGCAGTACCGAAGAGCTGTTCAGGATAATTATAAATTAACTGCCTGTTAATAAAGCAATTTATTCCATGCTTAAGAATACATTCAACCTTCTCCTTCATTTTTTCCTTTTCCACATGTTCTATTTCTGCAAACTTTGCTGTAGAATCAACTCTTCCCAGTAACCAAATATCTTTATTTTGCCTGTATCCATACAGACAAAATTGTCTGCAATAAGAATTTGAATATTTTCAATTCATTTTGGTTGATTCACTCCAATTTTTTTATCCAATGGAAAGCCTTCATCTAAACAGGAATCTGCCAAACTTCCTCCTAGCTTCTTGATAGTATGAATTGCCTCCAGGTTGCCAGAGTCTTTTAGTCTGAGAACCACTTCTACAGCTAACATAGTAAAGTGGTCTTTGTGATGAGTAAGAAGTTTTGAGGATAATGTTGTGCCAGCAACATTCATTAAATCTTGACGGAATTTAACTTTATCAGAACCATGATCGACCGTGGAACTCAACAGAGCCTCTCTTGCAGCCTTTGTGGCTTCTCTCCAACCTGCTATGATGGTCTGTGGATGAATCATTTTTGCAATTAAAGATTCTGCTTCCCTTAATAATTCTGCTGCTAAAATGGTAACAGAAGTAGTCCCGCCACTAACTTCATCATCTTGAACCCTTGACATATCAACTAAAACTTTAGCTGCTGGATTGTTAACACCAATGTTTTTTAGAATAGTGGCACCATCATTGGTTATCATAAGAGAGGCATCTCGTCCACTGCTTAGATGAATTTTGTCCATGCCTTTGGGTCCCAAGGTGCTCTTTACCAAGTCTCTTTCAAAGACTGTCCTGAAAGACTTCGTTTCTTTTTCTCCCCAACTTGGTTCCCATTCTGAATTTGGACACTAATGAACATAGAAATCAAAGAAGACTTTAAAGCAACTATTTATTCAGAAACATTTCGGATGACACTAACGTTTTCGTTTGGTATTCAATTAAGACTTGCCTCAAAGGCTGGGACTTCTTTATGTGAATTTGAAATTTACAGGGTACATCACACCTATGCTATATTTAGGAAGCAAATGAGTGAAGATGAAATGCCTAAAACAATTGGCACCAAGGGAATTTGGTACTTTAAACATTTTGGAAAGCCCAAGATTGCATGTGTAGTTACATGTCCTATATTCTTTCTCTATTTCATGTAGACATGTAATACAAATGGCATGAATTATAAAAGCAAATGTGTTTGGTACTTTGAACAAATTATCCATCTTACTGAAGTAAATTCACTAAAACTTTTCTTTGTGTATTGAAAATTCAGACAATTTTTTTCCCATTTATTTATTTTAATGCATTTTAGGTTTTGGGGTACATGTGAAGAACATGCAAGATTGTTGCATAGGTACACACATGGCAGTGTGATTTGCTGCCTTCCTCCCCATCACCTACATCTGGCATCTCTCCCCTAGCTATCTCTCCCACGCTTCCCAACCCCCACCATTCCTCCCCCATTTCCCCCCAACTGACCCCAGTGTGTAGTGCCCCCCTCCCTGTGTCCATGTGTTCTCATTGTTCAACACCCACCTATGAGTGAGAACATGCGGTGTTTGATCTTCTGCTCTTCTGTCAGTTTGCTGAGAATGATGGTTTCCAGGTTCATCCATGTCCCTACCAAGGACACAAACTCATTGTTTTTGATGGCTGTGTAATATTCCATGGTGTATATGTGCCACATTTTCCCTGTCCAGTCTATCATCAATGGGCATTTGGGTTGGTTCCAGGTCTTTGCTATTGTAAACAGTGCTGCAATGAACATTCGTGTGCACGTGTCCTTATAGTAGAACGATTTATAATCCTTTGGATAGATACCCAGTAATGGGATTGCTGGGTTATATGGAATTTTTATTTCTAGGTCCTTGAGGAATCGCCACACTGTCTTCCACAATGGTTGAACTAATTTACACTCCCACCAACAGTGTAAAAGTGTTCCTATTTCTCCACATCCTCTACAGCATCTATTGTCTCCAGATTTTTTAATGATAGCCATTCTAACTGGTGTGATCAACAAAACAGACAGACCACTAGCCAGATTAATAAAAAAGAAAAGAGAGAATAACCAAATTGATGCAATAAAAAACGATACAGGGGATACCACCACAGATTCCACAGAAATTCAAACCATCCACTGTGGGAGGCCGAGGCGGGTGGATCACGAGGTCAAGAGATCGAGACCATCCTGGTCAACATGGTGAAACCCCGTCTCTACTAAAAATACAAAAAATTAGCTGGGCATGGTGGTGTGTGCCTGTAATCCCAGCTACTCAGGAGGCTGAGGCAGGAGAATTGCCTGAACCCGGGAGGCGGAGGTTGCGGTGAGCCGAGATCGCGCCATTGCACTCCAGCCTGGGTAACAAGAGCGAAACTCTGTCTCAAATAAAAAAAAAAAAAAAAAGAAATTCAAACCATCATCAGAGATTATTACAAACAACTCTATACACATAAACTAGTAAACCTGGAAGAAATGGATAAATTCCTGGACACTTGCCTCCTCCCAAGCCTAAACCAGGAAGAAGCCAAAACCCTGAACAGACCCATAACAAGGTCTGAAGTTGAGGCAGCAATTAAGAGCCTACCACCCAAAAAAAACCCAGGTCCAGACGGTTTCACAGCCGAATTCTACCAGACATACAAAAAGGAGCTGGTACCATTCCTTCTGAAACTATTCCAAACAATACAAAAAGAGGGAATTCTTCCCAAATCATTTTATGAGACCAACATCATCCTGATACCAAAACCCGGCAGAGACCCAGCAAGAAAAGAAAACTTCAGGCCAATGTCCATGATGAACATAGATGCAAAAATCTTCAATAAAATACTGACAAGCTGATTGCAACAGCACATCAAAAAGCTTATCCACCATGATCAAGGAGGCTTCATCCTCGGGATACAAGGCTGGTTCAACATACGCAAGTCTATAAATGTAATGCACCACATAAACAGAACCAAAGACAAAAACCACATGATTATCTCAACTGATGCAGAGAAGGCCTTTGACAAAATTCAACAGCCCTTTATGCTAAAAACCCTCAATAAGCTAGGTATTGACGGAACATATCTCAAAATAATAAAAGCTATTTATGACAAACCAACAGTCAATATCATACTGAATGGGCCAAAACTGGAAGCATTCCCCTTGAAATGTGGCACTAGACAATGATGCCCTCTCTCACCACTCCTATTCAATATAGTACTAGAAGTTCTAGCCAGAGCAATCAGGCAAGAAAAAGAAATAAAGGATATTCAAATAGGAAAGGAGGAAGTCAAGTTGTCTCTATTTGCAGACAACATGATTGTATATCTAGAAGACCCCATCGTCTCAGCCCCAAATCTCCTGAAACTGATAAGCAACTTCAGCAAAGTCTCAGGATACAAAATCAATGTGCAAAAATCACATGCATTTCTATACACCAATAACAGACTTAAAGAGAGCCAAATGAAGAACAAACTTCCATTCACAATTGCCACAAAGAGAATAAAATACCTAGGAATACAACAAGGAATGTAAAGGACCTCTTCAAGGAGAACTACAAGCCGCTGCTCAACAAATAAGAGAGGACACAAACAGATGGAGAAACATTCCATGTTCACGGTTAGGAAGAATCAATATCGTGAAATTGGCCACACTGCCCAAAGTAATTTACAGATTCAATGCTATCTCCATCAAGCTACCAATGACCTTCTTCACAGAACTGGAAAAAACCACCTTAAACTTCATATGGAACCAAAAGAGAGCCCGCATAGCCAAGTCAATTCTAAGCAAAAAGAACAAAGCGGGAGGCATCACACTACCAGACTTCAAACTATACTACAAGGCTACAGTAATCAAAACAGCATGGTACTGGTACCAAAACAGAGATATAGACCAATGGAACAGAACAGAGGCCTCGGAGGCAAAACAACATATCTACAACCATCTGATCTTTCACAAACCAGACAAAAACAAGCAATGGGGAAAGGATTCCCTGTTTAATAAACGGTGTTGGGAAAAGTGGCTAGCCATGTGCAGAAAGCAGAAACTGGGCCCCTTCCTGACACCTTACACTAAAATTAACTCCAGATGGATTAAAGACTTAAACATAAGACCTAACACCATAAAAACTCTAGAAGAAAATCTAGGCAAAACCATTCAGGACATAGGTGTAGGCAAAGACTTCATGACCAAAACACCAAAAGCATTGACAACAAAAGCCAATATAGACAAATGGGACCTAATCAAACTCCACAGCTTCTGCATGGCAAAAGAAACAGTCATTAGAGTGAATCGGCAACCAACAGAATGGGAAAAAATTTTTGCAGTTTACCCATCTGACAAAGGGCTGATATCCAGAATTTACAAAGAACTAAAACAGATTTACAAGAAATAAAACTAACAAGCCCATTCAAAAGTGGGCAAAGGATATGAACAGATACTTTACAAAAGAAGACATACATGAGGCCAACAAACATATGAAAAAATGCTCATCATCACTGGTCATCAGAGAAATGCAAATCAAAACAACATTGAGATACCATCTCACGCAATTTAGAATGACAATTTTTTAACTATTCAGAAATGACTCATGGGAAATTTGAAAGATAAACTTCCATGCTTTATCCAGGCAATTACTAATAATTTATAGGAAAGTCAAATCATCAACATAACAGAAACATTGAAAAACCAAACTGAACAAAGCTTCCGAAAAGCTTATTACTTAAGAAGGGATGACCAAGCATATAAAACTCAGAGAAGGGAGAGGTTCAAGTTAGGAATTAATTTAAAATTCAATTAAAATCTTACAAGCAAGGATTATAAACTTATAAACAAAATTATATAGTTTTTCCTGATTACTGTCTAAAGTGCGTAAAAATCATTTATGGAATTTCCCATAATATGCACCAGAAAAGCAGAGGATAGTAAGTGGGATGCGTTTTAAAGTCAGACTAAGTTATAAACCATCCATATAGAACTGGAGCTGTTGTAACTGCACACAAATGCAATAGTTGTCCAGATGTAGGACTGGCAGTCACAGAATAATGTGGTTCATTGTGAAAGTCCAATAATAATTTGATATTTTGTTGTAAACAGGTTTTCCATTGTTGCATGGTGCCCTTGTATGACACTTGTAATCCTTAAGGGCAAGCCCTTTAACTAAGCTACGGTAGGACATAAATGTCATTTCCTTCGGATTTCCTGCATTGAATCTGGTCTTTGACAGTCCTTTCAAAAGTTTCTGTTAGATCCCTATTTGATGGAATGGCCTTACTTAGATTAATGCAGTTATAGCCAGGGATTATACATGGTAATAAAGGAATATAACTGTTTTCAACTATGGAAATAGTAAAATGAGTTTACTTAGAGAGCTGACAAGCTAGTGGCTATTTGTTGAAAGAAAAAGTTTATTTGTCTTATTAGTGAAATAGAGTCTCAAGCATTTAAAAATTATTTTAACTAGGGCCTATAAAAATAAAGGTCTCCTGAGGATTATCTGTAAAGACAGATTTTGGCAACAAGTAAAATAATGCCTTATATTCATTTTATGAGTTAATTTTGTGTAAAATTCTCTTTTTTCCAACTATTTTTTCCTGATGTGCCCTTTTTGTGTTCCCTTTCTACAGATAGATTAAAATGTCCTACTCTATATATTTTATTTTTGAAAAATCAAAGACTAAATTCATCTAAATCAGAAAGAAGTCTGTTGGTTTTAAAATTTATTTAAATAAAAATAAATTTAAATATTTAACTTGGCTGACACAGTCTTGTTAGGAGGTGATTAAGTAAACAATTTACTTAGAATAAAAATATCTCTTATTAAAATGGCATGGATTTCCAGGCCAGTAAGAAAAGAAAATATCTCTCTAACCCAGGAAAAGTATTTTGGTCTAAAAATCAAATATTCCAGATTTATTAAATATTACTCCACCCCAATTTCAAGTAGGGAGGTTTTACCACTGGATTTCTGGAAGCAACTGAAACACTTCTTAACTATAAATGTACACTCCTACCATGAAAGTAAAAAATACTCCAATGTAGTAAAATATTCCACAGTAGTAGGTGAAACTAGAAGTCCCATGTCCTATAGGATAGTTTAGAAAGTCACTAGACCATAAATTTCATAAAAATGAGGGTTATATATTTCCATCATTGTCTCTCTAACAGCCAGCAGGATGCCTGGAACAGAACCAGCTTAACAAACTGAAGTTATTAAAATGAAGTAATTAAAAATGTACCTTTACTTTTACAACTAATAGATTACAGAAATACAACTTTTCTTTAAGGACTATATATTTTAAGC